AAGGCGAGCAGGCAAAGGATGGGATCTTGCGCCCGGATCGTCTCCGACGATGGGACTGCGGCGTCGTACACGTCCGGCCCGCTCCAGTCGTCGCTGTCATCCAGGCACTCGAATTCGCAGCAGCGCTCGCCCACGCGGAACTTCTTGCATTTCTGCAAAACAACGATGAGAGCGCTTGATAATTATTTTACCGTCCTCGATTTAAAACGCCTCGATAGAATTGTCCAAAAAGATAATGAAAAACAATTGCTTTGAATAGCTCGAGTGATGAATGTGTCTGTGCACATGAAACGTTAATTGCTTAAATACCAAAGTATTAAAACGCTGCAGACGTTTAAAGAGCTAAAAATGCTTTGTAGAGAATAAAAATATTTGATAGCCTTTAGCTGCTGAATATGTCGGATGTTATACTGCAAAGATCGCGCGCGCGTGTACGAAGCCGCGTGATCTGACAAGTAGAACGACCGAGTGTCGTGTCAGGCTCGAAATATCGTGTGCGCGGCGTGGAAAGTCCGCCGACTTCTCGCAAATACCGAGACAATATTGTAATTACACGCGGGATTAACATAAAACTCGTCGCATGTAAATTGCAGCTCAAGCCCTACTGCCCCACATAAGCGACAGGAATGGAAACGCGTCGCGTCGCACGATTCGTTGATCTTTTTCATTTTTTTGCGAGCCCGAAGCAATTGAACTGTGCAATTAACGGTGTAAAGGTAAAAGATACACTTTCCAAGCGTCACGAGCAAAAAGTTTAAAGGTGGAAAAAACGCGACACGATTAAAATCAGAAAAGGAAGAGAAGAAGAAAGGGAGGGGGAAAAAAAGGGAACCGCAAGCCAATACGGCAGTTGGCGGTGCGATAAAGTGATAACGAAACCTTGTTAGTGAACTTTCCCTCCAATGTGTGTGGCACTTGTAAGGTCGCTGACGTAAATTTAATAAAGCGATTATTAACCGTTCCATCGAACAATCGTATTAGTGCTCATTTACGGAAAGGACGTCTTTTACCACCTATTTCTCGTCTGAGTCTCGTCGTCTCAAATTCAATAAAAGATTTGTAGCGAAAGTTTGAAGTACGCTATCGAACCTCATTCAATATAATGCTCGAATTTTCCGTCTAATTTTTCTATCCGCCTATAATTCATCTGATAATTTTCTTCCGTATTATTTTTAATTTTATTTTTTACTCCGATGAGAAATTTTATTTCATTTTAGCCCATATTGATGAAAAAAGAAAAAAAAGAAAAACTTTTACTATCGTGCAAGTCAAATTTCTACAAATTTAACAAATTTTAACACCGGAATGTGCTACTCTTACATGGTCTACTGCTTTCTAACGCTATTATCGGAGTAATAGTGTAATATATTTACGTGATTGTTGGAGTCTCAACTTGCGAACTACACAAAGCCGATCGTGAGCTTATTAGCGACACGGCGGTCATTAAGTACGTAATGTACGACGCGGAACTTTGTGCTACTTTAACGGCGGCGCGTGTGCAACATTGATTTTAATCACTCGGTGACGCGAGTATAGAGAGAATATAATTAAAACGCAGTTAAAGCTACGAGTGCGTGCATATAAATCGCAAGGGAAACGCAATTTATTCGCAAAACCACACCGGTTGTTTTTCTTTTTTATTTTGTTTTGCTTTTTTTGTACTGGTAAATTACGTTCGTCATTTCGGGTGAAAATTTTTACTAAGCTACCGCCAGTAATTAAAAAATACGGGGAAAACAAGATCCAGAAAACGCGTCTGGTGAAAAAAACGTTGAAACCGAGAGAAAGCTGCTCGCGAACTTAAGTCCCAGCGAGTGACGGCGATCGCGACACTTGGTTTAAACGATAGCTGAGAATCGCGAAGCTCAGCGAAATATATAAGCGTCGCTTTTACAAAATGCATAAAGAAATATGCGGCAAATTTAATTTTCTGGAGCGCAAGATGCGTTAAAACTTCCACAACTTTTCCATTAATTTTAAGTGGATTTTACTTTAATGGAATTTTAATTCGAGCAATTTCATTCTATTATCATTACAATCGATATTAGAGCTAAAAAATTGCCACGAACGTCGGCTTCCGAACAATTCTCTCCCACAGGATACTGTAATTATTCTTTTAACAAATTCTGAATTTATCTGACTGGCGACAAAATGAATCTATCGGCAATATAATCTCTTAATACATATTCTATCCATTCTCTTATTCATTCTATTATTCAATACTCCATTTTATGTGTTAATAACTACCAGGCAGCTCATATTTCTTATCTTTTTACAAAGCAGCAATCGAAATGATAAAAAATAGGAAATTTCTAATTAAGAAGAATTGCATATGTCGATTAAAAAAATACTGCGCATATTTATTTTTGAGATAGGGTCGTAGATAAACGCATCGTTCGCTCATTACTTAGAAAATATATCCGGTCTTGTTATCTTGCGCATTGCCTGTCCGACGGAATGACGAACTTTTGATATTGCGAATGATAAAATATGAAGGTTGTCTAGAGACACGCAAGGTTGAAATACACGTATCACGTTGTTGGCATGTCTGTCTTTTATATATTTATACACTACATTTATATATTTATATACTATTTTTTACTTTGGTAAAATCGGAAAAGAGAACTTGATCTTCAATTTCTTTTGCGGTTTGTTATTTCTGTCAAAATTACATGGGCGCTTTACGAGAAAAGCGCAAAATGTTCTATGTTTGTCGAGTATTTATGAGCGTTTCACTCGCATGTAAATTTGCGCTCGAAAACCACGTGTTTTCATCGGCAAACTTGAATTTCAATAAAGCTTCATATTTTGTAAGTTGACTTGACAGTACTCGGCGTAGAAGGATATTACGTGCACGTCGTTTGTTATTACGTGATGTATTGAAAAGAAATGGTTTTTACAGGCGCATAGAATACTCTGTTGCAGTAAAACGGATAGCTATGGTTGATTCTGCAAAAATTTTTCCCAAGTTGCACGCATTATCGATGAATCGTACGTTTTCATCTTTTCTGCTGTTTACAAAAAAATGTTTAGTGATATTCTTTTCATTTTCTTATTTCACAAGCTATATGTCGCACCTATACGTGTCACCATATCATTTACATCTTCTCGACGAGATAATGAAGAAAGGGGAATTTAAAGAATTTAAATTTACACACACGAGTGCTTTAACTTCTAAAAAAAACGCAGACGTTCTTCCGCTTACGATCGGCGACCAAAATATTTCGACTTTAAGATGCAGAGTGTTACTCACGTAACACTTGCAAGTAATCTGCAATAAATAAATAGCTCTCAGATTTTTGGTGGCGTACTCACATATGGCGGCGTGCAATAAATAGCCTGGCACCACATCGGCTCGGAATGATAACAAACGCAGAGGCTGCAGACCGCAGGTCCCGGCACGTAGAGAAGGCCGTGTCTGACGGTGCCGCCCTGAAAGTCCGTACAATTCTCCTCCAGGCCACCTGAAATCATTTCCGACATCGCTAATTGAAATTGGTGGCGATATAACCCGGTTTCCGCGACCATAGAGCCACCAGGCTCTATTTCAGCTGTGAAGCCGTCAATAATTTATCAACATCGCATCGAGTTTTCCTGCAATCCGCGACGAATTATTTGCTCGAGGAAAATTTCACTGTGCAAACAATTTTCGATCTCTGTATTATTCAAAATAAGTTAATAAGCTTTGAAAAGATTCAACTCGGGGTAATAATTGAGCAACCGATGCTGCGTATCGCATTGGATTTAAAATTAATATTTGAAAGCGGAATAAAGTAAATAGAAGAACCGAGGGAATAATATATTGAATTTGCCAAAAAGCTCTTTGTTTTCTTTTCCGATGATTGGTTTAAATACAATTTCCAATAGATGGATTAAATAAATTTCGAAATAAATAACTTTTAATAGAAGGTAATCGAACAAAATGCTCAATGTATTGTTTAACAAAATCTGGATTTTAAATTTTCTAAAAAATAAAGAAATGAAAAGTTTTTTATCAACCCAATAAATCAAACGACATAAAATGATAAATATGTAAAAAAAACATGGTAGAAACGCTTGTAAGATTTTTATCTAAAAAACTGTAGATTAATAATATGAAATTATTTTGTGGATCTGCAAAATTTTCATCACACACACACACACACATACAGCGATTTTAAAGTGCCTATTACTTTTCACTCGCGATTATCAAGTCACGATTCCGATCTCGATCGTCGCGATAATCCGGCATGCTTTCCATGCTGCGCGGCTCTTCGACGAGAAAATCCTTTCGCGACGTTATTCGATATTACGACTTACTCGTTCGCGCCGGCAGGAATAAAAGGGTGGACAGGCAGAACGTCCACGTGAGCGTCTTGATGGAAGGCCTCTTCATGGTCCGCGGGGTGGTTTGCTTCGGAAAAGTGGGACGTGCTCGTATCACTAGACAACCTCTCGAAGACTGGAGAATGCCCAGCTATTACAGCAACCTCCGTTCGTCTACTGGCAACGGCAGGAACATAATGCCTGCGCGAAAGAATCAGGATACATTTGTCATCGTGTTAAACCAATTTTGCGTGGGCATCGGCTAATGGATCATAACCGCGTGATAATTGTCGCCCTCGACCTTAAAGAACGAAATTACGACGGAATTCGCGACGCGCCATATCTCGCGGCATCGGGAATTGGCGAGAAACGTGCAAAATAGTTTGATAATCGACGGTCGCAGGTTTAACGCGTTTAACGCAATGCGTAAAGTTGCATGTGCAGTCGACCGTGCCGCTAATTCTCCATCACGAGATCTTTATGATCTTGTTTGCAATATAATTTATTACTTATCATTTTCTACAAAGTGCGTGTAAGAAATACAAAATTTGCATTAAACATTTTTTCAAGCGCAAATTTTTATAATAATACGGATTGAAAATTAGAAGATTCTGTTAGTTTATACTTTCAGTTTTTGGTGTTGGGTAAAATTTTTTATTCTCCAATGTCATATATCATTATTGTTTGATTAAAATCGTCACTTGATGAAAATTCTCTTTTGTTCGCACAAAATTCGATGTAGTAAATCAATAACATCTGCCAATTTTCCAACGATTGCAATTGAGTGACATGAATAAAACAGCAAATAACGCGTTTGTAAATTGACAAAGCAAGATATATTGCGACGATGAGTAACAAGCAAATCTTACAAATGTGGAAATTGTAATTTTAATGAGAGCTCGCACATGCACGACCACGCAGAGCTCTCGATAAACGAACTGAAAGCTTTCCAATCGCTATTCATCAGCTGGTGAACACGTGCGGGGAGTTAAAATTAAAATCGGAATTTCCGAGAGTTGGCAAGGTTTTCTCCGCATTGAAGTTTTTGTTGACAGGCTTTTTGTCATCCTTGAAAAGCACGAGTCCAAGTTCGCGGTACGCAGTCCGCGGTATGTTGATGCAACGCGATCTGCCAAGTATTGCGCGAGTTTTGTAAACGGCGCAGAGCGGCGGTATCGCGCGCATGTGTTCCCCCGAACTCGTTCGTCGTGCCAAAGTGGGGTTTGAAATTGATGTAACTCGGGTAAGCGCGTTTCGCGATGTTGTAGACACGCAGAAAGTAGCATTTATTTATTCATGACGCGAAAGCACACGACCGATTGGCGTAAAATCTATATTCCCGCTATGCTTTCCGTGGCGGCGGGAACGTTGGTGAAATTACACATGTCGCAATCCCCGTGCAAATGTGCATTTTGTCATTAGCCGGGGCAAGATCACGCAAAGCGCGAGCCGCAGTCCTTCCGAATCGATCGTCGACATTACGTGTATTCGAAGCTACCGTACGTAGATCCCCGCGTGTTCGCAAAGGCGAACTTCGCCGCGCCACGTCGTCCGTGTTTGCGTTCTCACGCATATAGATTCAATCGACAATGGCTTTCGTCTAGACTTTCTTTCATCATTCATAGACTTTCCTTTATTCTTATTAACGAGCTATAACGCAGCACATACAGGGTGGGGTGTAATTCAAACTGTATACTCCAATATTTACATTGTACACAAACGGTGGAAACACTCAGAAAATGAATAGAATAAGTTATTTCTACCCTGTTTAGAATTTCGTGAGAAAACATTGCAGAAATTATTATATAATATTTTTCAAAATTAAATTTTTATTACCGCTATCTTGTTATCTTAATATTCTTAATTTTGCATGAAACAGATCGGGAAAGTAGAATAATCGTCAATAAACATTGAATAAATCGATAGTTTTTTAAATATTAATCAAACTGATTAATTTTTAATCCGGCGGTATTTTTGTACAACTTCATATTCATATAATTTGTATTTTATGTGTTTTTATCTCTGAAAACATGGCAAGTAAAAATAGAGTAGTACTAACGATATTAATTTGTTTCGAGGGAAACATCAGATATTGCATGTGTTTGTTGAAAAAGTGGAAGCAAGATTAATGTAATTTTTTTTTTAATGGAACTGTGTACTTTTTACGTAAATTAATTTTCGTTGAATAAAAATTTTACGCTACATTTTAGTCCAATTTAATAATGAACGTCAAATAAAAGATACACCACGAGAAAATCGAAGTATTTTCTAAATTATTCATTTTTCAAGTACATTATTTTAATACTTTTATGTGCGAAGTAATGAGAAGAATTAATTTAGATAAAAAAGAAGTATAGTAGTTCTCCAGTTAATAAAACCGAGTTGACCTTGAAGTCTCCGAAACGCCTCCGCCCTTAAAGTGAACGCATGCGGTATCTGATGTCCCTTTTGAAACAATTGAACCCACGTATGTGCTACTTTTCGTTTGCCAATATTTCTTATATTCCAATTTGTCGTTACACCCATTTTACGCTTTACAACTAATCTTTCTAAAAACACTTTATTAAATTTTCAATATTACATTCACTTGAAACACTAGAGACACTTTTTTTTATCTTTTTATACTTTGTGAGAGCTTGGGGAGGATATAAAGTACTCCACGTCTTATAGATAAAGTGCGCTCTCTTTGTCTACGGAGAGATTAGATTTTGACACGCGCTTTCTCAACTTTCTCAACTCAAGATATATGAACGTGTAACAAAAACTTCCCTCTTTCTCAATTTTTTCCCGTAACACAATAGATTGAATTCTGCTGGCAGACTATCTTTAAGCGGGGCGAGTTTTTACGTGCGAAGATAAGAGGGAAAAATTGAATTTTTACGTACGCGATAAGAGGAAAAAGGTGAAAAATAAAATCGGGGGCGGAAGATACGAGGGGCCGCGCGAAAACGATGTCAACGACACGCGCCTCGTATCCGCCGTCGGGATCGCGCTTCCGATTCCGAGCCGTCGTCGATCAGCAGAGCGCAGAGGATGACGTCAAGAGCACCCTCCCGCTCCCTTGCTGGCGAACCGCTCGTAATCAGAGCCCGTGCAGTCGACATGGGGGGACTACTCGCGGGATTTGCCATGCAACGGGTGGCCGTCCGTTATCCAGGCCGGCCGGAAAATAAATCCGCATAGTAGTGCATGCACCACAGACGCCGGAAGGGATAGGGGGTGGGGGTTGTTACCTTCGTGCTGCATCGCGCCGCCGATCGCCCGCTTCACATCGTCCCTCCTCGAGCGTCGCTCCCCCGTATGCACATGTGGTACCCTTTTCTTTCTTCGACGAGGAGGGGGAGGGGGGGTGGACGCACGATTTCGAACCCGAATCGGAGCTTTCGAGCGCGATCCCCCCGATGCGACGGGGAGGGGAAAAAATTTTTCCAAATTATTTAGGATGATGAGAAAAAAATTAATAAAAATGGAGTGCAATTGGATGCACCGGCTGCGTGTTTGTCGCGAGACCCCGAGGAAGCTCAACGCGATGCAGCAGCTGACAGCGGCACCGACCGACTGACTAAACTCTGTCGCAGTACGAGCTCGTTCCTCTCGTGCGGGTCGATCGAACACATTCCGCGCACCGCGCCTCGCCTCTCTCTCTTTCTTTCTCTCTCTTTCCAGCCACGCCGCGACGATGCCACCCTCCGTGGAAGCGTAATGCACCCACCGGCGAAAGAACAAGAATTTCTCTCGCCTTACTATTTGTCTTCCGCAGAAATAAAACTATATTCAATTCCATGACCGAATTAAGAGTCACCTGAGCAAATTGGAGGAAATTGTGCGTCATCGGATGAGAAGTGACACAGATGTTATCTGCACGAGGATAAAAGATACTGCAGGATCGCGAACGAATTTTATCGGATGGAATCTCGTCAAATTGATAGAGAATAGCCGCAAGTATTGAGGATTTACATGATTGCCTCTGAAAGCAATTTCTAAGTGTACCTAAGATATCCGATATCGCCTTAAGTTATAATTCCTGCGATCAAGTTCATTGATTATATCGAATTAAGAAATTAACTTGTTTTATATCAAACTTGAAGAAATGATCATGTTTTAAAATTACGAGGAATAGATGTGCGAAGAATTAATTATTTACTCTATACGATGCTACAGTAATTAATCTTATTCTTATTAAACGCATTGATAATATCGATTTAAATAAGTTTATTGATCTTGTTTTTATTTCTTAATCTATCGATACAATTGATCTCATTCTTTAATGCATGATGCATCGATATATTTATATGAAATAGACGTATTTTTCCGAATTATTAATAACTCGAATCGATTTTATTACTCGTTTTGGCACGGTTATCGCATTTTCTTTGCATCATTATTTTTTCTCTTGCGCAATTGCATTTTATACACATTTGTCACTCTACCTAACTGTGACCCATTCCCATTTCCGTACTTTTACCTCAGCACCCTCCGACCATACCCGTCGAAAATTGCGCCACGCCGCATCGACATCGTCATGGCAACCGCAGGATCTGTTATTTGTCGCACAAATACGCACCGATCAACTGAAGAAGTGTAAGTGAAAACACCGTGAAGATTAACTGCTGATTTTTGCGCATCGCTGCGGACAAGAGGGTTGGTCAGCCGCAGCATGAATGACTGTTTGTCATTGAACGCGGCCGCCAGCCGCGTCGCTCACTTGGCGCGAGAAAAGGTGAAGACGAACTTTAATTTATTCAAGTGTTTATACTACAAGCGCATTTGAATCCGAGCAGCTATTATGTCATTTTGATCGAAAACTCGAATTTCCGATCGGTGAGTTTCTCCGATATCACAGATACAGCGCTGGAAAATGATATGCCCATTTTGCTCCTCTATCTACATATTTTATCCGAAATAAACGAACTGAATTTTAACGACGGCGATCAGGTATCATGATCGAGAAATTGCAATTAATGTAATTGTAATTGCGGAAATTTCAACATAAATTTATCACTTGTATATTAATTTATTGATTCGAGAAGGAGCACCGAGATATTTCCGTATTTTTCTTCAACGTGATAATATCGGATAACTGTTTTCGACATCTTGACATTCGCGATTGATATAATTATGCTGACGGATTGAACCGATATCTTGATTTCAGCGCTTGATTTTACGTTTCAAACATTTATTTATTTATTTAAAAAAGTATAGTGACAAAAAATCAGGTAATAGGCTATATATTTTACCTTTGATCTTTAGATTGTGGATATGGGCTAAAATTATTTTTCAACAAATAATAATGAAATAAAATTGTACATTAAATACAATAATTATTAATCAGGAGGAGAAGCGTGCCCAAGATCGTCGGCGTCACCTTGTTTACCTTATCGTTGCCTTTTTACGGGAACAAGGGTGGGTAATTTATATGTAAAACGGTGTTTTTCAAATAATTATTAATTAAATGATATAAATAAAAGAAAAAAACAGCATGTTAAACTATACACATGATTGTACAACGAGCGAATATCGAATATTCTTTGTAGATATTCTAATACCGCAGAAACTCTGTTCAAGGAAGCCCAGCTCTCCCGGGACATTCACGTATGCGACAATATCGATCTGGAGACTATCATTCTTGAGTATGTCGATTATTATTTTGCCAAGTATAACAGATACCCCAAATTATGTAAGAAGGCGGAAACAGCCGGGAACACTGCACAAAATGTGTAAGAAACAGAAATTTATTATGAACGTAAAATGATTTAAAATATGGGAGATTCGATGCAATAATGAGGCATAATAGATTTGAAGGTTTATCTAAATAAAGTTTCGTCTTTGAGAGAATAAAATGTAAAGATATAATTAGGAAATATTTAAACCTCTTACTTATAACATGAATAAAAATTATTAGACCAATCTAATAGTTTAATTTACTTCACTTTCTTATCCAGAAACGTTGAATTCTTGATACATTCACAAGAAATGCACGTCAAAGCCATTATGACGCTCTCTTGGACGATTCTTTATGAAATCTTTCGACAGAAGAAACTTAATTTGTCACGGACATTAAATTTCAATCTCTCGCAGCAGTTATAAGAAAGAGAAAACCTCGAAGGTTTATAATTCAAAACAAGAGGATAGTCGCGTCGCCGCTACCGTTGAGGAATGTAACAATGTGGGCAGAAATAAAATCGCGCAAAAACAAACCGCTTGCGCGTGGAACGAGCTGGATTTTGGTCTCGTGGTGACGCCAATCTTTCCCGCGGCAAGTGGCGATCGAATTGCCGTACAAGCGCCCGTGTCTGACGAAACTTTTGCTAATAATGAGAGACTACTGAAATCTACCGGCGATCTTTATCCACTCGGCTCCGAGCTAAAAGAAATCGCCGATGTTATATCACAAGTAAGAAGTACAATCATGTCATAGTTTAGTTTTAAACTTATTGCGATTGTTTATTATTTTGTTTTCAAAATTATTAAATGCAAATGGAACAGTATTATAAATTTTTAATCCGTTTATATAATTGTAATCGCTCAAAGAAGATTCGATTCGATATAAAGAAAATGATAAAGAATGAATGTAAGTAATATAAAGTAATATAAATAATTAAACGTCCTGCGTAGGAAATCGTACAGCAAAACTTGAACGTTCATTGGAACGACGTAAAGGGACTGACAGATTGCAAGATGTTATTGAAAGAAGCTATAATCTACCCTATAAAATATCCGAGCTTATTTAAAGGAAAGCTCGGTTTCTGCAAGGGTGTGCTGCTATACGGTCCGCCGGGAACCGGTACGTAATTGTAAAATTATTTATCAGTCACCAAAAAATTCACGATAAAATTGATCCCGAATAGGCAAGACGATGCTCGCGAAAGCGATTGCTACCGAATGTCAATCGACATTTTTCAACATCACTTCCAGTTCCCTCATCAGCAAGTGGAGAGGCGAGTCAGAAAAATACATTCGCGTAAGTTATACATATCGTCGATTAGACGTCCATAAAACCTCAATTAATCCGTGACAAAATTATATCCGAACTATTTTATATTCTTGATAAAAGTTTATGAATATCAAAGTCCGATTGTGTGAGATTATTGACAACTCTAAACATTCCTGAAAAATCAAATAAAAAGTCCTTTATAAATACAGGTGCTCACCGATCTTGCCAAACACTACGCGCCTACAATTATCTTTATCGATGAGATCGATTGGACAACCACGAAGAACGCAGACTACGCCTCATCGAGCTCGGAACCTGCTAGGAGATTCCGAGCGGAATTTCTCGCCCGATTAGACGGATTACTATCAATAGAGAATACAAATGTGATACTGTTAGCAGCCACAAACGTTCCGTGGTAAGCAAAGCGCATATAATTATATGGAGATAACTTTAATTACTAAATTTGATTTTGATTGTTATATTTGAGGAACTTAAAAGAAAGATTGTTGTTAAATGAATTTTCGACCAGAGATAATTTCGTGTGACATTTTCTCATTTATTTTTCAAAGAAAAGAAGACAGTGAGATTCAGAGACTTGTTTGCTGCAAAAATATATATTTTTTTTTGTTTCATTTTAATTGCAGCGATTAAATTTCAAATAATTTTTACATTTTTCAGGAACATAGACATTGCCTTGTTGAGACGTTTAGAAAAGCGAATTTTCGTGGACCTACCTGATGAGTTTAGTCGATTGGAAATATTGCGGTTTTACGTGCATGACGATCTGCACGACTCACCAGAAATGCTGAAACTTGCGCAAGAAACCGCGGGATATTCTTGTGCAGATTTGAAATTATTGTGCAAGGAAGCGTGGATTAATCAATTGCGGCCTGTTTGGGCGGGTCTTGAGGCCAGGACAATTTCTGTGAAGGATATTCAAAACGACGGTTTGATAAGCGCGATGAATTATATTATCCTCGCCAAACATAATGTAAAACCCATTGCAAAATACATGAGCACGGAATATATGAAGTGGCACAAGGAATTTGGGTCTTCTAAATAAATAGGGGAAGATCGAGGAAGCTTTGTCGATTGTAATTAGATGTAAACATTTATAATAATTAAATCAACATTTGCAAAATAGAAACTTTTTGAGAATATATATTTCAGATATCTCGTAAGATTTCTATTAATTTGTTTACATTATAATTATTTTAATAAATTTAAATATTACAGTTTTAAATTAACAAGTAATGAAGTAAATATATATGTATATATATTTTTCCACAGATGTTTCGTCACACATTTTTTACTGGTTTTTAAAAAGTATTTTCTTGCTTTAAAATTTGCAAAATATTACACGCAAGAAATGGTAAAATCACATGCGACGAGCAGTATAAAAATTTGTTAGAATTTTTATAATTGATTTCAAGTTTGTTCAAAACGTCAATTAATGATGCAAGTATACAAATAAACATTTTCATATGTATCTGCGAACTAAATCTGCAGAATGTTATTAAACTATTACTTATTAATAGTATGATGACATATGATATAAAAGTAGTTGCATCTTGTAAAAAATAAAAATAAAAACCTGTACAGGCTTATTGACAATTTCCTCTCTTCTCCTGATTAATTTTAGCCTGCTTTAATCCATGATAATAACCTTAAAAAAAAAATACTGCAATATGATATTTATATACTTTTATATAATACTTAAAATGTTTGATAGATTAATAAAAAAAAATGACAAACTAATACTTAAAGCCATAGGCACAGTAGACAATTCAGTTATGTCATAATCAGTGGTGTTATTGAGTAATATATCTACTTCTAAATTTTTAAATAGAAATATGTATGAGATATGACATTCTCAATTACACCACTGATTATGGCGCAACTGAATCACTCGTTAACATGTCATCATTCTTAGAGATATTCCAAAAAATACCTGTATGAAATCCACTAATGTACCATGACATCAACATACTGGACAATGCATCTGTATCAGTCTCGGGCAATCTGAAAGCAGATATCATTTCATCAACAATACATTTCATAACAATAGAATCATTGTGCATATTTTAAAATTGCCCTTACTTAGCCATTAATTGTGGCGGTAAAGGTGGAGGGGGTGGCATTGCGCAGTTTGGCGGTAAAGGTGGAGGAGGTGGCATTGCGCAGTTTGGCGGTTTGATTTCAGACTCACGTACTGGAATAGACTTTCGGAAATATTTTTTGTATGGAAGATTTTGTCTACGTATCATCGTATCGGTGTCAGTGTCATAATCGTACACAAAGTCGGTTGGTTTGTGATGCGGATTAGAGGGTACAAATATATATGGTTCAGAATCTGTATCCCCTTCATTAGCTATAAACGCTTGCTTTTGCTGCTCGGTTTGACTTTGATCTCCCTCAGATTCCAAAAGAGAGCTGAGTTTTACTCTTTCTCTGTTTCGATATCCTGCACAAATAATAAATTACTGTTGTTAGATGAATTGTCTTGTTGAATAATTACTGTTATATTTTATTAGCTTATTGTCAATTTTCTCAGTCAATGTTATATTTTTTCATATATATCTAACATAATTTTTACATTTTTTTACCTTAATGTTTAAAATATCATAACTTAATTAAGTTACAGTTGATATTAGTATTAATATAATTTAATACAATATTTAACTATCTATTTTTTAAATGTAAGATATTGCATCAAAAGAATCATAGAACAATCATACACTGATATGAGATAGTTACCAACAAATTCTACTGTACAGTCGTCAGCACTTTCATCAATGTGAAGTATAATAGCTTCGTAAACTTCCCCATCTTCTGAGTACACTGCTCGACATGGATCACGAACGGTCCATTTCTATGATATAGTATAAAATAAACGTTTATATTTGTAATGTTTTTATTAAACGTAACATTCTTTCTTCTATTAAAAATGATTATAAAATATATCATACTTTGCGAAGCTTCTTTGGCTGATTTGGACATTTGGAGTCTTGAAATTTTTGTCGACTCTGAGTATCCATAGCAATACGCTTTGCAACTTCTTCCTTGGCCAAGTTCACAGCTCTGTCATATGCTTGTATTAACACTGAGTCATCCCACATATCCTCATCTAGACTTCTCTACAAATTGTACAATGTCATCTATGTTTGTATACTTTCCTTACATTTACATTATCTCTATATATTTTTATATAATTCTATTTTATTTCTAATTTAATATTATTATCTTGAACTTAATTCTTTTACAATTTTTGTTTAATTTTAATTTAACAAAGCAAAAAATTTGTCAATTAAATTGAGATTTGATCTGATTTTAATAAAATTTCTTTCAACACTCCCACATACATACATTTATATCTTTATATCTTCTCATAAATAACACGGTGTCATCTTGGTGATCATCTTCTAGATCACTTATACAGTTGTACATTATTTTAATAAATGTGTCTTATATGTTTTTACAATAATCCAAATCTGTAAATTCATATAAATGTTAATTGACATAAATAAAAAGTTAAATATAAAAATATACATTTCAGTGTTAACTATTCAACATACTTAATTAAAGCACAATTATAACTGCACAATATAAACAAGAGAATCACTTATGCTCAATGTCAATTTTCAGTTTGAGTGCTCCTATTTCTGGGTTAAGATCATTGTGGTACATCATTTATGTGCAGTGTTCTTTCCGAACAGACTTAGCACAAGTATGCAAGGTAACAAAGAGAGGAACACATTATTTGTTTCTTTCTCTTTCGTAAAGCATACACACTAAACATTCTGAATTTTGTCAATTTCAAAAATTTTAAAAGAGACGTTTTAATTATTTTAGTATTTTATGAACATCCTGACACTGTCAAAAGTAGCCCAGAAGTAAAAATAAGCATGTAACGGATAACCGTAACCTTTCTACATGCTCATTTTTACTTCTGGGCTACTTTTGACAGTGTCAGGATGTTCATAA